CGGCTTTCAGGAAGACGGCGAGCTTGAGCCTTTTACTTTGTTTTATTGCTCCCTGTAAGATGCAGCCAGGCGAGGAGTCACCAGCACAGCGGTCCCTCACCAAGCATTTCCCTCCTCTTTCAACCACAGGCTTTTCAGGGCATTTCTTCACAAAGCAGTCGCTTTGGATTATTTTCAAGTTTAATTTGGGTGGGTTTTTTTTTTGATGAAACATGCAAGACAGAGGCAATTTTCCACTGAAGACTAACAAAAAGCCGTACAAACAATACAGAGTTCCCTGCCAGTTCTCCAGCGCACCGATACCCAGACAGAATTCCCATCCATCCAGGCAGATTCCCGTCCCAGGGAGGGCGTAAATCATGCACATAATCCCCAGCGGATTTGGGGAGACAATGCCCAATTCAATAACGGCTTCAGGGACCATTTGGCACAGGGCAACTGAGACTTCGCAGCCGCGACCACACAAGAAACTGCAGAGAAAGCCAAGCTACATCAGGCAAGGCAAATGCTCACCACACACGGAATTACTCTGAAAATTCAGGGAAATTCTAGTTGGGTTTAATTTAGTGAAGTCTGAGAAGCTGGCATTAAGGGCAGGTTAACGAGGAAACGCCGTGCAACACGCCCGTGGGCAGGGAATTGTGTTTTCAGCCCAAGACAAGGGTTCCTCTATGCCAGACACCGGCTGGGTACTTCATTAGCGACTGGAGCAATAGGTCAGACAGCTGAGAAGCATCCAAAAGAGGTTTTCTTCCCAGACTGGATTCAATGCTTCCAGCTGCCGCAGGCAGGATGGGTTTAGGAGACGAGAGAGCGAAATACCTAATTGAAACTCGACAAAGGCTTCAGGACAATATGCTTTTATAGGGCCGGAGAGCAACCCGCCTCGCTACGAACAGAGATCTGCCCACCTGCCCTCTCCTTCCCAGCCACAACGCTGCACGCGTCGTATTGAGCAGACAAACCCTGCAGCGCGCTGAATCCAAAGTGAAATCTTAGTCTGAATTTGCTCCGGATCGATGATTTTTCAGCCTTGCTCATTCACCCCCCTCCTCCCACTGAATCACAAACCAGCGACGTGGGGGGAAGAGGCAGGGGACGGGAAGCTGGCTTTTCGGAAAGCAGCCTAAATCCCGTTACGGCTCACGCTTGCGAGAGGACGGTCCTCGAGAAAGCAGGGATGCCTTCTGCACCCCCGACGGATTTCAATCCCGTACGGAGCACGGGAAACACCACGCAGCGCTCGGGCTGGGGAGAGGGCAGAGAGAAGAACGACTGGACGGTTTGACCGCAGGTAAAGGTGCCGAAGAAGCGACGTATTCTTTGCACCGCACGCGAGGTGATGTTTAACGGGAAGCCCAACATATAAAGAAAGCTATTTTAAGTGCCCGCAAGTAGAACAAGTCTCTCTAGCAGCTCAAGAGACATCGGCATCAGTCGATACCTTTTTTATCTGTTTGCATTTCTGAGGGCAGGAACTGGAAACGCCAATCTTCTAGAAAAACCTCGTCACCCATCCGCGTGGGAGAGAGCCGCGGATTTAGAGCGCAGCTTAACCCACGCGGGGCGGCTTCTGTCGGAGGCTTCCCCCTTCGGATTCGCCACTCCAAGAAAAACTGAAGAGACGCTGGGAGACACAAAGCAGAGCCTGCTCTGACCATCACTCATATCTGTTTATTGCTTTGGAGCGTAACCCCGTATCCCGGCGCTGTGTATACGATAGCACATCTGACTTGCATATTAAATACAGAAGGGTAAGTGATTCCACATGGCGCTGAGCTCCTCCGCAGCCAGAGGAGCAGCGGTCCCTCGCGCGCCGGTGGCGCTGGCTGCCAAGCGCTCACCATTTGGAAGCGGACGACCGCCTCTGTTGGACCTGCTGCCGTAGCCGGAAGAAGTCGGGAACTCAAAATAGTTGCAAAACGTCCCCTTTCGGGCGGGGTGGAAGATTCTTTCCATCACAGGACCAGTAAAATATGTGCTTCGACCTTGTTTCTCGCTTCCGTACTTTTTTTTTCTTTTTTCTTTTTTTAAATAAAAAGGAGTGTACAAGAAACTCAGATCCGAGCCTCCTCCAGGGGCTCTCGCACGACCGGGCGCCTCTGATGCAATACTTGGAGCCCCGCGGCGCCGGAGCGTGGTGGAGTACTTAACACCCCCGCGACAGCCTCTTCCAGCACCAGCAGAGCTGATTCCTCCTCCCAGCCACGGGGTTTTTCATCGACCAGGTGCAGCCGTGCAGAGCACAGGACTGAGGGGGATCCCGGGAAAACCGTGGCCACCGGGAATTTCGGCCAAGGATTGCCCAGCGGAGGTCTCTTCGCCGCTGCCTTCGTTGAAAGAAATGAGCATTTTTTTGTCCTGACATCGAGTTGAAGTAAAGGAATTATGTACAGAGGACTAAATCGCTACGGCACAAGAATCCCCCTTCTTAAAAGCATAAAACACATCTAAAAAACGTTTAAAAAAATAAACAGCCTCCCCTTTCTCTAACTTTATCACACGTTTACCTGTTACAGGCACAGCACAAGTAGGAAACCTCCTCAGCTTTAAACCACAAGGTAGGGAATCGCCTGCCCAAGCTCCTACGCCTGCCTTCGTGGTCACCGATACACTCGCCTACCCCTATCTCGTTTCCCTAATTTACAAAAGCAAAAAACCACGTCAAATTAGGTATCGGGAAATGGCTGATCCCGTAAAAACAAAAGTTTGCATTTAAGAGGCCGCAGAGCTTTCTAAGAAAAGGAGACCCGTGAATGTTTCTCAGGTTTGACCCCTGAAACCACGAGACTCCTTGGGGAAAAGGCAGACCCAGAGAAACCACAGGCTCAGCGGTTTTATTTTACTCGCTTTTATTTTACTCACTTTCTCGGTTTTGGCACCAGCTAGATCGGGCTGGAGCAGGGATCCTCCCTTCCTCCCCGCGCTCACCTTTAACGTCACCCAAATCACGGGAGCTCACTCTGCAGGGCTGGGAGATGCCAAGCACGAGGGTTGAGACAGCAGCAGACACCAAAAACCCCTCCGCAAACGGCACGAAACGCTTATTACTGACGTTGAACCTAACGACAACAGTCACGGATGCCTCCTCCGTCACCCTTACAGCCCATCGCATGGGCAAAGCGCCAGCTGAGCGCCGCTGGGACAGGGACACAGCACACAGTCACGGGAGAGGCTCCCAGCTCGCCGCTTTTCTCTAATTCATAGACCTGCGGGGAAAAGGGCGCTCCAAGCTCGGGGGTGGGAAGCCAAGGGAAGCAGGGCCCTCACCCAGCAAGGCTGCCATGCAAACTCCGGGGAAGGAAGAGGGTCTCGGAGAGGTCCGCACCTTAACGCTTATGCTGGAGAAGATAGAAAGGGGGAAGGGTTGCACGGACCAAGGAAAACGGGTTTCGACAGGAACCCCAGACAAGGGAGAATTAATGGGGAAGGAGGGCTGGGACGGGAGAGTCCCAGGCACAAGGCTGGAAGGGAAAGGGGGAGCTGACAGGGAAA